GTGTGTGGGAATGAGTGAGAATGCTTGCAGGCATAGAGTAAGGAAGTTACAAGATGAGCAAATGTAATACATCTGGGTAATGAAAAACATAATCATAATAATAAAACTCTCAAGGCAAAAATCATGAGGCGCTTCACACACAAAAAATGTTAAATATAAAAAAGATTTTCTAAAAATAATTTTAAAACATGTTTAAAATGGCCTTAAACTAACATTGTGATAAAAAATGTAAGAAAAGGGGGCCACAGCAGCTAATGATCTGTCACCTTAGGTCTTTAGCCTGGTGCTGCACAACAATTAGGCTTTGATCACTGGACCTCAGGGACCTGCTGTAGAAAGCTCCCAGCCATCCAGGTTTTAACAGAGTCTAAGCAGGTGTGAAACAGCTGCAGCTTAGATATCTCATGGGGCTTAAAGGAGATGTACAGTTGGATGTCATCCAGTCAGGAGATTTCTTTAAAGGATCTCAGGATGTGCTGAAGAGGAAGCAGATAGAGAAGGAACAGTAGAGGCCCCAGCACAGAACCTTGTGGGACACCATGGGTGAGGAAGTTGGTGGAGGACCTAAACTTGGAGACAACCACAGAGAAGGAACACTCAGAAAGATAAGAGGAGATCTACTCCACAGCATTTCCTGATTGGCCTACCCAGTCTCTAAGCCTCTCCAGTAGCAGGTGATGGTCATCAGTGTCAAAGGCTGCAGTCAGGTCCAGCAGGACCAGAACAGAACAGTCCCCTGCATCACTGTGAGTCAGAAGGTCATTAGAGACCCTAAGAAGAGCTGTTTCAGTAGAATGAGCTCTACGAAAACCTGACTGGAAGCTATCATAGATGTTATGTTCATCAAGAGCAGCTGTGAGTTGTTTAGCCACAACCTTTTCCAAGATCTTGGAGATGAACGGAAGATGGGTCTGAAGCTGTTATGGAGAGAGGGGTCGAGACTCGGTTTTTTAAGAAGCGGGTGGACTACAGCATTCTTAAAGTAAGCAGGGACCTGACCAGAAACCAGAGAAGCATTCATTATAGAGAGCACGCTGGGACCGATGGACTGAAAAGCACTTTTAAACAAAGATGAGGGTAAGATGTCGAGGGGGCATGCAGAGGTCTTCATAGAGTTAACTAGTTTGGTTAACTCAGGCAAAGAAACTGGAGCAAAGCTATCTAGGATGATGGGCCTGGTTGGAGTCGGGAGAGGCGGCGATAAGGCTGAAGGAGAGATTCTACAAAGAGGGGGACCACCAAAGAAAAGTATCACGTTTTCATCCATGTCCCCTGATGTATGGAGGTGTTGAGGGCCCTTATGTGATGCTCTCTTCATCTCCTTTCCTCACCCTCACACCTGTCTGGTCCTCAGTGACCTTCTCACCTTTTGCATCCATCACTCAGCTTCTATTCTTTGTCATGTCCACACATCAGTCAATCGTTCTCACCCTGACTTCCTGTCTCACTCATTTAGGTTCTGGAAGATGGGAGTGTCATTGACTCATTTACCCACAAGTCCCAGTTCCCAGAGGACATGGATCCCCTGTCAGTCAGTGGGAACCTTAGCTGCGACGGGACATTGTTGGTGGGCGTTCGTCGGACCGCGGAAGCGAGCGGACCAGAACTACTGGGTGTCTCCACCTACAGGACCCAGGCTCATCTTTGACTTGAAACTTCACGTGTGAAAGAAAATACTTCAACATAATGTTTCTGTTTTATTGTTGCATTAGATTTACTGTTGGAATGAAAAAAAAAACTTTAACACAGAAGAAAAACTCATCATGCAGCAAACAGGTGAAACCGGAAAACTGAGGATATGATGCAAATGTAAATTCATCTCAGTAATTCAACTTAGACTGAGAGACCATCTAAAGGCACAGGAACCCTCTGCAGGCATTCTGGATTTATCAGCTGATCAGAGTGTGAAACTTTGAGTCTAGAATATTTAACATTTTTACAATATCCTAATTGTCTGAGATTCTGAATGTGAGGTTTTCATCAGCTGTACGCCATAATCATCACAGTTATGACAAACAAAGGCTAAAAGATCTGGATTTGTATGGAATGAGTCTGTCTCAAGTTCTAACTTTTAAGTTGAATTACTGACATAAATTAACTTTTACATCATGTTCAAGTGTTTCCAGTTTCACCTGCATGGCTGAAACAAAAACAAAGTTAAATTTTTAAGAAACTATGTTTCGTTTTAACATGCATGATATGAAAATATCCTCGATCATCTTCTAACGTTTGATCCACATGTCAGTGGTTTCCCACCAAACAACCACCGTTGCATCCACTTGCAGATCAAATCCACATTGAGTCCATCAGACTAGACAAATCCTAGACTTTAGCTGGACGTGCAAAGCAGGTTCATTATCTGTATGTCTCACTACGACCCCAATTGGACGTCAGTATAACGTGGAACATGTGGATCTTGGGTTGGGTAACTTTTTTGAACGTCTTTAACAGGAACAAGAAATATCATAAAAATATTGTTGCTCTCTGCTCAAAGACGTCGTAGTGACGTCATATCCAGGTCATTTCCCTCACCTTCATTTTTTTGGTCCACTGAAGGTGCAGACTGTGACACCAGAGGACACCTTGGTTTGAACATTCCTTGGGACGTCCACATATGAGCTAATTCTGGTTCAAGGGAGGTCGTTGTGGACTTCTTTCTACAAAATGTTGTCACTTGCCTTTTTAAACATATTTTATACTGCCATTAATATGAAATAGAAACAAATTAGATTAATAATTTGAATAAACTGAAGTATTGCATCCATCCATCCATCCATCCAACAAAGCACTGGATATGTGGTGGAGCCTCTCAAGAATATTACTAATGTTAAATTAAGCACATGATCAGCAGGTGTGTGTGCGTGGTAATTAAAAACATTGAATCAAACTGGTGGGCTTGATTTATTTGTGTAGCACTTTAGTTATAGTTTCAGCAAAAAACAGGTGTTCATTAGCATTAACTTTACTTAGAACAAATATTTAGCTGTTATAGTAGCAGCGAGGACACGTGATCTGTCTGGTAACGTGAGGACATCCAACAGACCTCATTTAGACCAGAATTAACTCACATGGACCTGCAAAAGACCTGGGAAAGATGCTGCAGTGGTGTCTGGTAGGGCTGCAGCTATCGAATATTTTTCTAATCGAGTACTCTATCGAATCTTTTATCGATTAATCAAGTACTCTAATAAATTACCCTTTTGTGTTTGTAAACCATTATATCAAATAGCATGTTATAAAATATGAAAATCCTCTTAAAATGAGCAAGCAATTGCCAGTTATTCTTCAAGTTTTATTCAAAATTAGTTTTCAAAACTTCAGCACTTCAACTTTACTTCACAGTAAACAAATGTCTGTGCAAAAAATGAGTATACAACCTGAGCCGATTTTCCCCTCGTGCGAGAAGTAGCGCTGCGAGCAGCTGCGGCCCAAACAGCACCAGAACCGCTCACGGCGCATGCATCAACATGGCTCGCCAGCTATTTCCCTATTAACACAAGTCCGTTTTAATTTCTACACTTTTTTTTCTCACAAAGTAAAAACGATTGTTGAGAAAGCATGTCTGCCGTGGTTATGTCAAATTATACTAATCACAAAACATTTATTTACTTTCTTTCGTTTTCCTCCGCCACTCATAAACACCCGTGTCCTCCTGCAGCAACCCTGAGGAACAACAGGCATCAATAACAACACAGTAAAAAGTCCGTCGTGTTGTGTAAAAACTGCTGCTTTTAGCACATTTTTAGGTCTGACGTGTTGCTACCAGACGCATAGTGTCCGCAGAATATATAGCGGACCTCCGAGTCCGCATGCAGAAGTGACATTTACATGTGGACGTTTCCTGGTCAGGTGCTGCAGCATCGAGGATGTGGTGTTGTGGTAGGCTAAATCCATTTACAGTATTTACACTGGACTACGTTTTCCACCTTACGATGTGAAAAATGGTCCCACACCTTTGACATTTTCTGTCTTCTTCGCACTCCACCGGGGTCCACGTTGTCCGCCATGGCTTAAGAGAAAGTTAAGTTACAGTATATTCGCTACTCGCGTGTTCATTCAGTGCAGTGTGTATGTGCGTCACTTATTTCGGTCCGGGTGAAACATGACCCCGGGCGATTGCAAGGCCATGAATTAATGAAACATGAATTAAACGAAGCCTCGAGGCAGAAAATTTAACTCGAGGCTTTTTTGTACTCGAATTATTCGAGGTATTTGAGGAATCGTTTCAGCCCTGGTGTCTGGTGGACGTGAGAAGGACGTCCGTCACTGCCTCATTTAGACCAGAATTAACCATATCTGGACGTGTAAATGTTACTTGGAAAGATGTTACTGCGACGTGTCCGGGGCACGTGAGAAGAACATTCACAACGACCTTATTTATACCAGATTTAGCCCTAATCTGAGCATCCTAAGGATGTCAATACAGCACATGCAGGAGACGTGATGAAAAACGTCATCTGGCATCTCAGTCTGCACTTACAAGGGGACTGAAACTGGACGAGCAGAAATGACCTGGAATAGATGTTGCCGCGACATGTCTTTGCACAGTGTGTTGATTCACCTCTAAGCATTCTAACAGCAGCACAAAACACAAGATAAAATGGTTTCCTCATCCAAGTATTCACGTTATACAAAAATGTCTGCAGTTTTTGTAAGAGCAATCAGTACATGCTCCAGTAGCGTCATGAAGGGACTGTTTTCCACCTAAAGGTCATCTCCCCTCTCTCCTCATGAAGAACTAATCTCCTTGAGATATGGCTCAAGGCCTTTGATGCCTCTGCATCTAAACTGTTTTCAGTAGCTATTTGCCTCCCCCTACAGCACAAGAAAGAAGAAAGAAGACCAAGAACTATTTTTCTTTAAATAATAATCAAATAACTTTGTTAGTCCAAATAATCATGTAAAGCCTAATGTTCAGTCAATCGGTGAAATGAGAATATTAATTAATTGATATTATAATCCTATGACAGTATATAATAAGTAATATAACTTTAAACTAGACACTAGACTGATCACACGTAATGCTAAAGTCACATGACACATTTCCTGTTTCTCATCCAATCAGAGCTTTCGTTCTGACGCGGGGCGTGGCTTTGCGTGGTGTTTATACCATCCCCTTTTGTTGTCAAATTCTGATTTGACAGCAAATCAAAACATCCAGATTATAAAACTAACTCCCACGTCACCCTTAACTTAGTTCAAATGTTCTAGAGTTTCGAGCCTGCCACTCGTAACTTTTTAACCACAAAGAACCTTGACAAGCTGGATAATAAAACCTGTTGCAAGCTACACCTGAAAGCAACGCTCCTTCAGAGTAAAAGCCGAACTCACTGACCCTTCAGGGTCCCGCTGACGCTGTCAAACACCTGTCGCTTACCTGGAGGCATTCCAAGACTTGTCTGTCGTACCGTACGCTGTTTCATTGGCTCCGGTCCTAAGAGGGGGGTCCGAGGACCTGGCATTCTGGATCTGAAATGGAGGTCTCCGCCAAGGGTATGTAGAGCGGCAATATGGCGTCTGAATGTGGTTTTGAAACTCCAACTGTAGTTTAGAGCAAACCATTCGCTCCCACACAGAACTAACGCTTCTCCGAAAACGAGAGTTCTGATAACAACGTTCCACTTTTACACCATCCATCTTGCCTCATTCACAACCTAGATCCATTCATCACACAGAGTGTTTAGAGTTAGTTAGCCTTGTTTTAAATTGTTTAGAAATAAATCTTGTTAAACTTTAAAACTTGTCTCTCTCTCTCTCTCTCTCTCTCTGGTCTCTGGGTTAATACGAAGTGTTACCTAATCCCTGCAATAAAAAGTTCCGATCTTCTGTTTAAAGTAATATTCAAAGATACATCAAATCGATTTCATATTTTCTATGAAATCTCACCTTTTATGGTTCCTTACGTACGATATAACTAACGAATCATTACACTCCCATACTGATAGGGATAGAGTCAGTGGTGATTTTACCATTAGGCATAGGTCGGCGGCCGCCTGGGGCCCCCTTATGTTGGGGTACCCCCTAGCCCTGACTGCTGGCACCCCTCTGTTAATGCCACAGTGGGCTATTCCTTTAAGATGCCGATGCACAAACCAAGAAGTGTTTGGTAGTCATTCCACTCCAATCCAATGCAACAAATTGTTGCGTGCCTAGTGCCATAAGACCACAAATAATAATAAGAAGATAAAGTAGAAAAAGAAGAAGAGAGGCGGGAGAGTTCGTAACAAACTCAAAGCGATAGTCAAAACATTAAGCATGAAATGGAGTTATCCTAGTGGCTCCAATAAGAGAAAGAGGCAGCTTGCTTTAAAAAAGCTTTTATTTTCACTTCTGAAAGTGACGTCGTTTTTCTATGTAAAAATCAAAAGGAAGCAGAAAAGAAAGACAATGGAAAATGTTTAAAAGGAGGAAAACATAGATCAAAATGGAAAATAGAAGAAGAAAAAAAGAAAGGCAAAAGCACAGGAGCACTGACAGGAAGAAGAAAGAAGAGCAAATATTGAAAGCACTCAAAAGGAGAGAAAGACAGGAAAAAGAGGAGGACTAAAAAAAAGTGAAAATAACTCATGTCAGAAGAGGGGAGAGTTTTGCAAATCCAGTTAAAGATAAGATTGTCGAAAATTTTGTGTAAGGGGGCCCCATGTCTTTGTTCACCCTGGGGCCCCAAATGGCTACATCCGCCACTGGACAGAGCAGCAGCTAAAGCAGAACTTCAGGTTTCACAGGAACCTGTTTGGAGATCAGCTGGACCTTTGCTCCCATTCTTTTTTTTTTCAAAACCAAAAATAACAACATCATAAATTCAACCCTTCATTTTATTTCCAGAACAGAGTGTGCAAAATGAAAACAGTTCCTCTCTGTGCAGAACTCCAAAACCTTTTTAACTAGTTCTCGACTGTTTTACTTTTACTGGAAAACTTTAGATTCACTTAAGAAATTTAGGAGAAAACAAAATAATTTTCCTTTTCTAGAAATCAGTGGGACTGTAACAGAGCTGTGTTGTTTTAGTTGTTTTGTGTTTTTTTTTTTACTGTCCTGAATGCAAGGGGCTGAAAGGACCTGCTGGTATCAGCTCTACACATATGCTGAAGGCCTGTCATGTGTGCAGCTCAGATTAGATTAGAGCAGCTCCTCCCCCTCGTCAAAAGGAGTCAGCTGAAGAGGTTCATCCATCCGGTCAGTAGGCCTCCTGCCTTTCTTTGATTGAACCATCAGGGCTGTCCATCTGGACACCGCTACAAAGTGACCAAATGGAAAAACAAGTGGGATAAATTTTTGTAATTTACAAAGACATTTAGGCTTTGTAAGGACCTGCAATTTAGTCTTATCTCATTGGTTAACCACCGTTGTTCAGTTTGTGCGAAGTAAGTGTCCTACAGACACCAGGTCGACCTGAATAGCCTGGTCATCATTCTCGAGTCTCTGCAACACGGGTTTGATGCTCCTCTTAGCTCAAGGCTGGCTGCTAACGGGCTTAAATAAAGATCAACCAACAACTCAGACTGAACCAAAGTCCTGCTGGGCCTCATGTAGAACCAGGGAAAAACAAACACAAAGCTTGTTTCTGTTGCATTGATTTGAACACTTTTGTTGTGACAAGAGTCTGGCAGAAACACGGTGAAACAAGCCTTCTCTGTGGGGGAACCAGCAGGGAAAATCAATGGGTTATCATGACTGGATGCCTTTGATCTTAACAAGAGACGTCTGTTAAAAGTGGATCTTCACCTATATCCTGTGATTTATGCTGTGCTCGGTGGGGGAGGGGGTGTTAATCAATAACACGACTTTGAAGAAGAAAAATATTTTATAAATCATTTCTCAGAGAAGCAGCTTAAGGCCATAAATGGTCACGCCCAAATGTTTTCTGATCTTCAGCTGAAACAAAAC